AATCATACACATATTTGTATTTTTACAGTTTAACACATATTGTTAACGATGCAACACAACTCTGCTGTGGCGAATCGTATCAGTGAGTGATAAATTACTTTTTATTTTAAATTGACGTTGCATATACAATTACTTCTTTGCATGTATACAAATTCTTAAAAATATACAATGCCCAACTATAAACTGCGCGCGCAAAGCGCGCGTTTTGTCATTTCTATAAGTAAACTATAAAAGTGAGATGACGAAACAATATACATATTTCTAAACATAATTGTAGCAATATTTTAACATAATATTGCTACAACATTACTAAAGTAATATTGTAACAAAAGGTGACTCTTTTTAAACCTTAGATAAGCCATTTTTTATCATACTTTATCGAAAATACAATGAGTTAATGGCGTCATTATAATCAATCAACCAGCAATTAGAGTCTCACCTATAACATACAAGCGGTAAAAAAAATCATCTTTTACTGGTGCAGAAAATCACACTTATGACGTAATGTTTAATGTGCTTTAAAATGAAATATGATAAAAAGTGTAATTAACAAATTGGCTCGTTCCTTCAATATGACCGGCATTCATATAGTCAGATCTTACATTCATGACCGTCTTTTTATCTAAAGATGGAACATTTTATTGGCTGCGGAGCATCTAATGATGATCTTAAGACGGTTTTGAAAATAAGATCTGACTATGAATACCGGCCTATACGTTGGAAGTCTCTCTTCTCGCGGCAAAGTTCTTAGCAATGAGCAAAGTCATTGACAGTTTTAGCAGAACTAAAAATTACAAATGTATCATACATTTCAATGTGACGATGGAGACCGCCCCAGTTTCATTTTTTATCAGTGACAAGCGAAAACCTGATTCGTGGAATCAAATTATAGTTATCTGTTAGTAGCATTCCGTTTCCGTTTATATTTTATTCAAAAGTGCAATATATATTAATCTTAATGAATATAACCTTTTCTAATTTCGGCTCCAGAAATTAGATCAATTTCGAGAGCTAATAAAGTCGAGTCAAAAGAGAGCCCGATATAAAATTGCATATTTATCCGCGTGATATTCTTTCTCTCCCCGAAGGCCCGACGACTGGAGGAAATAATTTATCAGATGCAAATTGCGAGCAGTAATTTATATACCGAAGCCACTTATTTAATTTATTATTGAAATCCTTGACGAATGGAACCGAAAAAAATCCGCCTGAATGAAAATGCGTCCGACAGTGAATTCGGATGAATCCGCGAGCGCAGATCGATCCGCGTACGTCGCCCGGCGCGCCGATCATTCATCACGACGTCCCGAGGAACAAATATCTGCCTCGAAAAATGCACAAACGGAATACGAGACGCATTTATCGCGAAACGCTGCGTATTCCTCAACGTATGGAGCTGGTAGTAAGCAACGCATATTCAACTCTTTGAATCGACCTGAAAAATAACTCCATTTCCTCGGCGCGCTTCCACCGCGCGTTTCCGTTTTCAATTCTCCGTGCCGCGGGTATCGTTTCTCTCCTCGTTGTTAAAAGCCCGAAATACATCCGAGTTTAATGCATAAAAACCGATACAAGCGATAAACGCGTCGGGACATATGGAAACAAAACGGATCAATTTAATTAGACGATTAAGGAACTGTCGGTATAATTGTCACTTCCTTTCGCGTTAACATAATAAAATACCTGTTTCGTGTATACAGTTGACAGATTTATGCTACATTTAAGAGACTTCTCATGTCAAATTTTTTACAAACTTTTGTGTTAACAGGATGTGGCTGGATGGTTAAGTAGTGACAGCAATACTAATTTTAACATAAAATAAATGCAAACCTCAAAATAATGTGAAAGAAATTTGTCGTAAAGTCAATATAGCTTTAGTGGCAAAACTAAAAAGAAAGTATTTTCACATTTTTTCTGATTAAATAATTTCAATATTACAGAATAAAATCAACACTTTTTCTGTAAATTTAAACAAACAAATCTTGTTACTAATAATACGGAACATATATATTGTGTAAAATTAAAAGTAGGTAAACATTGTGTCATTTTTACATTTGTTTTAATAATTTAACATACGAGTTCAATTGACACAATAGCAATACATTAAAATTAACACGAATGTGTTCAAATATTTAACACAAAAACTTTTATCGGCACAGTTTTTAACAAGAAAACACAAATTTTGTATTATGTACGGAGAGAATCTTTTCTTAAAATTTGTCCTGAAAATCATGTAATTGTGGGACATGGCATTTCGAAGAATTTTATGAATTTTACTAATAAAATGTATGATAAAATTTCAAAAACATGGCAGTTTGAACAATTTATGCGAATGTTTTGAAATTTTACCACACATTCTATCAGTAAAATGTATACTAATTATAAGTACAGTTACTAGTAAAATTTAAAAAACATGACATTTTAAACAACTTTATGAGTTTTTGAAATTTTACCATACATTTTACTAATATAATTATACTTACAAGTAAACCCTACCTAAGTGGGGACACACCGATTTTTAAGAGTGTTGAATATGTTGTTTTTCAGCTCAAAATAAGGGACACTTTTTTTTTATACGTCCCCATACGCACTTTTAGGTGGTGAAATACCCCTTTGAAGAAATTTTGATTTTCTCTTTCGGGACGAATATTGATGAAAGTGTAAGAGCCAGAAAAAATTTTTTTTAAATAAACGTTGAATGGTTTTAATAATATTGTAATAGTATAAATTAATTAACATACATTTTACTAGTATTATAATTATACTTAGTATACAGTTTACTGGTAGAGAGTACGGTAAAATTTAAAAAACTCGTACAGTTGTTCAACACGTCATGTTGTCCCACGATTATACGATTTTCGGGATACATTTTTTAAGAGAAAATTCTTTCTCCATGTACATAATTATTATTTCGTAAGCATTATCGAATCAGGAGGTAATCCTTGGGCTGAATTCGCAGCGATGCCGTTAGACGAGCAGGTCGCGCGCGATGTAAGCGATGTAGAGAAAAGTCAGCGAGATGTAACGGCAAGTCCTGAGAAAACGGAGCAGAAACACAAAGGCATTGATACGCGCGACATCAATTCGCCGCGCAGACACCGGTCGAAATCCTGTCTGGAGCTGCGTCTGTTCTGCCTGAGATTGTGCCGCGCGAAGAAAAGATGTTCCGAGCGCGTTCTGAGGAAGCCGACGAGACGAGTTCTCGAGCGAATAAAGGCGCGAAGTAAGGAGTGCGGGAAGCGCGACGATACGGCAGTCGCCGGTGTGTCAACCGCGCCGCATCGAGAATCGATAAGCCATCGGGATGCCCCGAAGAAATCTAGGAGAGGTCGTAAACAAGACGAGGCGGCAGAGGTCGCCGATAAGGACACCAGGGCGGAGAGAAAGGAACGGAGGAAGAGGGAGAGAGAGGCGAGGAAGAGGAAGGCGCTGCCGGAGGAGGAGGAGGAGGAGGAGGCGCCGCCGGTGAGGAGAGACAGGCGCGAACGCGAGGAGCTCGTCTCGCGGGCCGCGGACGTGCGTCCGGTGGCGCGCGACGACGACCTCGTCGCCGAGGACCTGGTCCCGGTGCGGCCGCCATCGATCGCGGACCTGGCGAAGAGCTGCTGCTACTTGTGCGCCCGGAACGCGCTTGCAATCGCGGCCGCCTCCAGGCCGGAGCAGTCCGACAAGTGGGTCCAAGTTTCGGCCCATAAATTTCACGCGGAGACGCCCGCAACGCTCGATAAGAGCTGCAGCCCGATTCTGCTGCTGGTGCGCACCGTGCAGTCGTCCGTCAAAGTGAGGACGCGGGAGACCGGTACCCTCTGCCCCGGCATAGCGAGCGCGGTGCCGCGCGCGAAGAAGCGCAAGAAGTTCGCCGTGTTCCGGGGGCTGACGCGGACCAAGTGTCCGGCGGGACCGCGTGCCGTCTGCGAGACCGGCAAGTCCACCGCCGCCAGGCGCGACGATAACGCGGAAAAACGCGAGCCGAGACACGAGAGGTGCTGCAGGGAGAGGAGCGCCTGACTCGCGCCGTGAATTCTGCCGAAGCTTATTGCTCGAATTAATTAAAGGCCGAATCTTAGTATAACTAGTATGCCCACTCTCTGTCGGCTCTTTGATCTTTTCGGTTTCGATCACGTGGTATTCCGCCGTGTTTTTTGGTATAAAATCTTGTCACACTGATTTTACCACATATACAACATCCGTCTCATTGACTCCACCAAAATAATGGCGGATGCGCAGAAAGGATCGACGCAAAACAAAACAAATGACAGAGTAGGCATACTAGTTATTCTATGGCCGAATCAGACTAGCAATTGCCAACTCGGATTGGACTGGGATTGGCGATTGACGATTGTCCTCTGGCCAATGAGAGTCGATTAAGTCGCTGGCTGCTTTGCTCTTATTGGCCAGAAGACAATCACCAATCGCCAATCCCAATCCAATCCGCGTCGACAATTGCTAGTCTGATTTGGCCTTAACGTTTGATCGCTCGCTGGAGAGAATGATTACATGCATCGTGAAACATTGAATTTTCCATTATATCGCCTCGCCTTGACGGCTCGAGCGTTCGCTCGCGACTTTACGTCGAAGCTCGTAATTGCTCCCGCATTTTCTCCATCGGACTTTGCTCCTTTGCGCTCGTGCGAGATTTCAACGAGAGAAACGTGTCGCGCGTTACTCCGTCAAAGAGAGGAGGAAGGTCTCTCGCGATAGAATATAATTTAGTTGACGCAGAAGCAAAAGTACTTATTCGTAGACGCTCCATTCCCGATACTATTTCACGCTTTTTCCCTCCGTTCCTCCGCACGCTTGATAATTCAGTATACGCCTCTTTCATTTTTAAGCCACATTGCCGCGGCTCTTCCGTAAAGTTTACATAGAGATGCGCGACCCTAACTCGAGCGTATATTTGAATTGCACGTTGCATACGAATCGCTTCGATAGCACATGTAACGCCGCCGCTCGGCCCGTATCTCCTCGTCGATAAATTACACCCTGCCGCGTAAGCTTTGTTCCATTTACGCGCGTGTAAGCGGAAGACGTTAAATTATGTACAATAGTCGGAATCGGAGTCTTACGTACACATAATTATTTCATCGAGGCACAAAATCCCCTTATCCCCCCCCCCTGCATCCCACCGCGATTCTCCGCCACGCAATTTGATGGACGATAAGAAGTTTCCCTCCCCCATCTCGCTCTTTATTAAAAATGGCGAGTCCTGCTCTCCCCCTCCCCCTCCCGGCGCACCTTAAGCCGTTCAATTAAACCGCTTCTTTGTGCCTCATTTCATAAGTTCCTCGGGGGACGAGCACGGCTTTTCTTGACGGCCTCCGCGCTCGGTGGAGAGGAGGGAGAGACGCGAGACGTAGGGCGCGCCGCCTGTATAAACGTCATCTCCATATCGTTTCCATATTATTTTCATGTGTTCCCTACACACAGTGTGCCCCGTACGGCCGTTTCTGTCGCTTCTGCGTCACTTGCACATGACTGCCGCTCGGATGGAATCTCTTGCCTCGCCGGAAACGTGCAAAGTCGCGAGTAAATTTAGAACTCTCGTCCATCTTTCGTGCATTCTTTCCCGTATGCATTACATAAATCCGTAATATATTATATAAAGGCCGCTCCAAGTGACACGTCGAAAGACCGAATCAGACTAGCAATTGTTGACTCAGATTGATTTAGAATCGACGATTGTCCTTTGGCCAATAAGAGCGAAGCAACCAGCGATTTATTCGCTCTCATTGGCTCGAAAACAATAATCAATTGCCAATCCCAATCCATTCCGAGTCGGCAATTGCTAGTCTGATTCGGCCTTAATGTGTGGAGTTACTGCCCTTAAAGCCGAATCAGACTAGCAATTGTCGACGCGGATTGGATTGGGATTAGCGACTGGCGATTGTCTTCTAGCCGATGAGAGCGAAGCAGCCAGCGATTTAATCGACTCTCATTGGCTAGAGGACAATCGTCAATCGCCAATCCCAATCCAATCCCAGTCGGCAATTGCTAGTCTGATTGGGCCTTTACATTCTCTACGTGAATATCGGACTGCAATCTCGATCGATTACCTACTGGAAAGAAACGTTACGAGTAAATTCAGTCTATTTTTTATACGATCCCCCCTGTAAGTATTCCATAAATCTATAATCGTCGCATCTTATGTATATACATGTAACGGAAATAATTGGAACACAACTAATAATATGAAAAAATTGTCCATGCAACTGTGTTTACTTCGCTGCCGCTGGAAACGCAGAAAGTCGTGAATGAACTCAAAGTACATCTATTAAGCACGAAACCTTTGTAATTGTGTATAATCAAATTTTATATACAGTAAAGTCTCAATAATATCGAGAGATCCCGAGGACGCATCGTGAGTGAAAGAAGTCGCTTTGCGATTTGCGCACTTTTACGAGATAGGTACTTATAATTATATATATCAACGGTATCTAAATTTATATAGAATAAGAACACCCGTACGAGATAATGTAAAAAAGAGCAGGAAAAAGGAAAGAGGGGAAGCAACACCAAGGACTCTGCAGTGGCCAACGGAAGGTCTTATTGCACTTCGCGGTCGCCCGGCCGACGATCGACCAAGTAGTTCGAGTCCGCACTGCGTCAGACCGTATCAGAAGACGATACGGCGGCCCGGGTCGGCAAACTAGAATTCCCGTCGTCCGACAAAGGGGCACCGAACATCAAAGGCGCCGCGTAGTACGGGAGAAGAGGATACTGGGTGGTCGGAAAGTACGTCGGTGGGAACAGTCCCTGCCGCTGCGCGATCTTCAACCTGGACGTGAGTTGCTTCTTCCACTTGGTGCGGCGATTCTGGAACCACGTCTTGATCTGCACCTCGGTGAGATTCAGGCATTTCGACAGCTCCATCCGCTTGCTCACGCTGAGATACTTGTCGATCTGCGTGCAGTTAAAAAGTTTGTGTTTAACTTAACAGATGTCACACGTTCCAAACAGTCCATGCAAATCTTTGTCTTAATTTAACATACATAATATGGATAAATGATGATACTAATAACGTCAATATTTTAACACAAAGTTAATGCAAACCTTAAAGTAATTTGAAATCAATAATCAAGGGTCGATTATTTTTCTATCTATCAAAGTTTCAGCTTTATTCTTTTTAAAACATATTCCACTCTTTTATAAGTATGACCAGTTAATTTTCGTAAGCTTATAAAATAAGAAGAAACGTGTTTAAATACTCACTATCTGCAAATTTTTTTTATCAATTTCTAGGAAATTGTTTCTCTTTTGGTCTTTTTAGTAAATTGATTCTAGTTATACCGACTCAAGATCGATTTTAAAAATCAATTTTTTCCAAAGGATCGCCCATCACTAGTAGAACATTGGTTTTGCGCGAGCAATAAGATAACCGCGGACCTCTTACCTTAAACTCCGCCTCGAGTCTCTCCAGTTGTTTCGCGCTGTAAGCTTGACGCGGTTTCCGATCGATGCCCGGTTTTCTCGACCTCCTGCCACTCGGTTTGGGCGCTGCAAAAAGTAATCAGTTCCTCACCTCATCGCGCCAACAGTTACAGAATGTCGCGCGATCGACAATGTCAACTACACATAGCCATTCGCTAATTACGTGACAGCCCCTCGAGACCTCTGACAGTTTCTGACACTGGCATTTTCGGAGATTTATTGTCGTGATAATGAAAATTTAATATTCTAATCGCGCGTCTTAATTGCACGGCTAACTTCGCCGGCTCGGGCTCAATTATCACCTTACGAACTCGAGGCACCACCCGTCGGAGTCCTGTCTAGGATCACCGAACACCTCCGAGACGCGTAGGACTGTTTGCGGAATGTGTGACATCCTACGGTCAACACCATCGTGGCGAAGCGGTAACGAGCTGTGCAAACAGTTTATGACGGAGAACGTTTGGATGCGATTATCATCGTGGTGCAAAGAAGTACTGCATATTTCCTTTCAACAGCAGATATGAGACATTATAACGTAATTAGACGCGCTAAAATAATAGGGTAATTGTTAATCACGTTGGCAAATATCCGCGAATATCGTGCTGGAAGACAAATGCGCGATGCAACATTTAGAGTAGTAACAACAGCTGTTTTTGATGCCATTATTGAACTAAGCAGATACACACGATTCTTCCCTATATAACATTTTATTATCAAACTTAATTACTTATACATTACGAAAATATTATTTAATCTTTTAAATTAATGTAAAAAAATCGAAGAAAATCTGTAGAAAAATTCGACTAATTATTTTCACTATTAGTTTACTTTTAAATAATGTTTCTGATTGAATTGCGCAACTTTATGATTCTTTACCTCCGTAAGACAATTTGTTCACTCTTGCAACTGGCACATATAAGAAAAAGTATATAATTAAGGTGATGTAGAAACGTTGCATTGTAAGGATATTATAAACTCCACACAACGCGTGGGCTTTTGTAACAATCGCTCGAATCCTGAAAAATAGCACAGACTCGCGTGACGCGATACTTCCAAGATAATGCATTCACATAGAAGTAGAAACTTTTTGCTCTTCCCTCGTGTTTAATCACCGGTTAGCCGGGCAGCCCTTACACGACAAGTCAACAAATATAGATGTCACGTATTTGTACAAGACCTTTGCGTCTTTACAGGACCCTTCCAGCGGGTTCTACGACTGCGGAGAACAGTTAGATTTTTATTACGTACAACAGTTTTTAACAGTCAGAATGTCACTTCTTACACTTCTTATGCTCCGCGCAAAAAAATTGTCTTGGATAATTTTAGGTAAATTACATTAATCCCCAATGAACAAATTCGGGCGCATTTCAAAAATATCCCAATGTTTTTTAACTGTGATTGAGTTACGTTTCGGAGTTTTTCTTGCAATTCAGAGAAAGGATCTAACTATCTTTTACGTATCTAGTACCGATTCATTTAATTCATAACGTTACGTTAACTATTACGCAAATCCCGAACTCTCGCAGCTGGTTTTAGAGATTTTAAATGTTTCAATACGCGTAATTCCTTACGCTCAACAGGAAACTTGCTATGTATACCGTGCAAATAATACTACGAGACCCGTTTTATTTCTTTAGCTGTATAACAGCGTAATATAAGTATCTGCCGATCTAACATTTTTCTAGTAACAGAAGTCAGGTGTGGCATGATACGATTTATTAAACATGATAAATGTATAATAGTTGAATTCAATTGGTCGTTTTATCACGTGGAACAGATCACAATATGCGAAATAAAAGTTCAATCATAAATATATTCAGAATCAGACGAGATGATCGCGTTCTTAGAAGTTGAAAGACTGTGGTGACCGGAAAGGAGAATACGCACGGTGACGAAGAAGAAGAACCGGCGGGCCCAAGATTTACGAGTGTACAGAGACATTTAACACCTTCGTGGAAGATAGTTAGACCAACGGTGCTGATAAATGGGCTCCTAACAGTATGGCGGATAGTAGCCGGAAAGGGAGAAACAACGCGATGGCGGATTTTAGTCTTATCCCAAAATCGCGAAATATCTGGGATTTCAACTTAGAGTGGTATAACCTGGGCGAATTCTTCTACAGTTTTATATATAGATTTAACAAATTTATGTGGCAAACCTACAAAAGAGTCGTGAATAAGTCAATACTGAAGAGAGCGACAGTAATTGTAAGAAATTTCAACAAAACGATTAACGAAATATTAAAATGTCGTGTAGCAATTTTACGTGGAGAAATACAATATCGCGATAGTTGATTAAATGCGCGATCTTTACGCGCCTAAGCGTTTAATATTTCGCCAGTAACATGCCGAAAATAGGGGGATGCAACAACTGGGCCACTGATGTGTGCCTCGCGTGTCGAAAAGCTGTTATCGCAGGCGCCTCGTATAATATCCAATATTCGTCGAGGCCGAGAAAGAGGATGCCCATCTTACACCTCTCCCGGCATTGTGCGCGAAAATAGAATTACGGTGGTAAGTTATTACGAGTGGATAATAATTAGAGTCTTTTGTCGTCACGATTCTCTGGCGGCGTTACTGCCTCAGACACGAAGAAAAAGATTTCTAGCACCGCGAGGCTTTCCCTCGGGCGTCCACGTATCTGTAGCATATTCATGGTACATTTCTGTAATTAACTGATAGCGGATTGAATAGTTTAAAAAATCAGACGATTCAAAGGGACGATTTTAACTTTCAGATTCGTTTTCCTGGCAAAAATACACGTTCCTGTAAAATTTAATTAAAAACAGATCTAAAGAATAGATTTCATTTTCCGGCATGTTGAACTTTTCTGGTAATAAAACTATACTGGATTTGGAGACTCTTTGAAAGAAGGAGGAGCAGATATGATCTACCTTCGTGGATACCAAATTAGATTCTAAAGGCTTGAACTTACCTTGTAAACCAAACAGCTGTCCAGGCTTTGTTTGGGCAAACCAGCTACTGTACAGTAACGAGGCTGATGCGAGTGACGTTGCAGAATATGCGGAGGAATCGGATAGCACACCTTCGGAGTACGGCAAGCCCGCATGAGTGTATAAACTCCCTTCTATATCTGTTGAATCGTGTTGCATAAAAATCGTATGCACTAAATTGTTTTTATTAAACGGTAAAATCGTTTCTTGTAAACATGTGACGTCTGCTTGCACATTAGATTGTTCTTTTAATTATCAATATTTTAAAACAACGTATAATATAATTTATATCTACGAAATTGTCCGTACGGTCATCCACGGACTCGCGGGAATCCTCTTTTGCGTTATATTTCGTTACATTTTTTCTATTGTAAAACTCCAGATAGAACTTTAGCATCGAGTATTCTCTGTTAATATTATAAATTATCTTACCTGATCCTACTTTGCTTTTTTAAATAAACAGAAAGTTTTGTTCTCTGGAAGGTCATCAGTGAATTTTCATTGAAAACAGTGAACAAGCGACTTTCACTGGTATACTTGTAACTGCAAATTAGTGACTATTCACTGTTTTCGATGATAATCCACTGGTTGACTTTTAGAGAGTATACTTACCAGTACGTGTGGCTGGTATCGCTGTGGGCTTGACGAAGTGTCCCTCTAGTCTGTCTTCCGCCTCGTCCTGATCGTCTTCCTTATCGCCGGAATTGTTTATTCTTGAGATTTCCCTTTTCTCATTTCTCCCAAGGATGCTGTCGATACTGAAAGCACTAGACGCCGCGATCGGGGACGAGTTTCTTCTCTCGGTCTGCTGTTTCTGAAACTCCCTGTAACCCTCGCAGCTGGAATCGGATGCATACTCGATAGACTCCCGATTGGTGCTCGGTGACATGCAGCCTCTCTCGATGTTGTGCGAGAAGGCCTCGTTCTCACTCGGAAGCGACCGTGTCCGACGAAGATCGTAAACGGCATCGTTCATTTTCTCGCGGTTTTGGTAGAGTTCCATCTTGTGAAAAATCATCGATCTCGACTGCAGTCGACAATTCTAATCTTACTCGGACAACGGCGCGTACGTTCCAACGATAATTTAAATTCGCACACTTAACATTTTTTTCTGATGACTGGAGCAACCAAGTAATCTTTTCACAGTTCTTTCTTCTTTAAGTCTCACAGTTATTAACATAAATTATTTCGGTAGGTTTATGGCTCGATTACAACTTGCCGTATCGTCATTTATACCACCGCGTGTCGAGCCCGAACGATTATATATTTTTTAATCGACGGAATATTCCATATACCGTAAAGAATATCTACGAATCAACTGTAAGCGGTTTAACGCGCGCTTCTTCTTTGATCGATCACACCTGATCCCGTACTAATCTCCCTTCGAACCGTCCGAAAGCAAGTACTTCCGAAAGTATGACAAGTGGCACGTGTCTGTGGTCCAGAGAAGGACCTCCCAGCATCCCCACCAGCTTCCAACGGGAAGGTCATCCCGTAAGGTTGGAAGAATATCTCGCACCTCGGAAAACCCCCCCACTCGCCCGCTATCTCTGATCGGAGTAGGGATCGCAGCGGTTTATAGCTGAGATTTCCTACTTTAGAACTAATAGCTTTCAAATTAATAGCTCACGCGTATTTCTCCGGGAATAACTACAAAATTCTACAAAAAATTAAATAAAACTACCAGAATCTAAGAAATCCACGTAAATTTGAAAGGTGTTATAAAAATCCACATAAAAATGCTAGAATTGGAACGCTTTTGTTAATTTTTGTAGTATTCTAAGCAGGTGTTTTAATTCTTTAAGATTTTGTTGTGTTTATAAAATTTTTTAAACTAGCAAAGCTTTGTACGAATTTTTACAAAATTGTACATTTTTATGAAATACTACTTGCAATAATTTCTTCATTTGAGAACATTGTAAGTTGTGGTACTATTTCGTAGATATTTTTACAAAAAAATTAATGTTTCAACGAAGATATAAAAATTTTTACAAATTTCTATTTCAAGTAAATTTTTTGTAGTTATTTATAGACATTTTTTCCGCTAGGGTTATTTGTGAAATTTTACCTATTTCTTTGTACAGCGAATTGTAACACGCACTGCTGTCTTTATCATCGAATTTATAAACAATCAACGAATCTGTGAAAAATTAAATAAACGGTAAAAGTGCGTTTCTAAGATTACAATTTTCATAGATTCTACGGGTTCGCATTAATCATTCGGTGACTCTATTCATCGATGGCCTTCATTAAAATTATACGCGTAACATCAAAAGAACTTATATGTTTTCAATTGCTTTTCCTGTTATATTTTAATATAATAATTAAATGTGTATTTTATATACAAGAAAATTATCACTTCGTCAATCACTAACTTATTTCGTACGTGTCTTTATTGCGTCTATCGAGATATCGCGTTTCTCATCGATACCATCGGTACAGCATAATTTTGTAAATTCATACGACGGATCTATATTTCTATTTTATCGAGGTATTCGCGCGTCTTATACGGTCCTTTCCAAAAAAAGTGCTTGAGCTCGACGATTCGGCTTGCGCACTAGCGAATTTTGCCACAGCGAAAAAGGGCTCATCTGGGATCAAAAGGTGGATCTGCGATTGGTCCCAAACGCGCAGGATGCTCGCGCAGCAACCGCCTTCTTTGACCCCTCTATCTCGGAACTTTATGCCAGTAAAACGATGGTCGCTTCTCTCTTTCCCGTTCGCGCTTTAGCAATGGATAAACGCCTCTGCCACGTGAAGAACATCATGAAAAAGTACCGCAAAACACTTCTTCACGCGTTTAGCGAACTACGCGCAGTGGCTCTCATCGCACGTCAGAAACGTCGCATTTCTTCGTTATATCCGGACGATTGTATCTCTTGCGTATGACTTTGCAATTTATCAGAAGAGCGACAAGCCAGTGATTGCAATACGCAGATTTTGCTAAAATCTGAATTGATATATGACAATAATATGTCTACGTGAAAGATTTGTAATTTAATCCACAGAAAAGAGTGAATTTTTCGACAACAATTGAGACACGAATGTGAGATATTTCCAAGGTAGAATCAAAAGTAGAAGTGAAAACGATACCTTCCGCATTGCGTTGTTTCCGTGATTCCAGCTTCCGTTGTTGATGATAGCCCTTATCGAAGCGTATCGTGCTATTTCTGTTTACGGGCACGGTGTGGCGGCCATTTTCGCGAATGGCGCGTCCATTAGTCTCCGGGCTACCCGTGCCAATCTCAATGTTCATCCTTGCGCGCCGTAAATCCACTCGGCTCCACGCTTCCGCGGCTAAAAGGACCAATGGCGATTGTGAGCCCTTTCTACCGCGCGGCTCCTCGTCATCGATCCTCTCCCCGATCCACGTCTGAGTTATTTCGTCTTTGTGGAAGAGCGTATATCATTCTTTTCATGTACATTAGACACCTCAACACGCGGTGTCGTGTTCTGAAAACACAGTCATTATTAATCCTTCAATATTCCCCGCTTACATTTGGATAACATAACTATTATACTTGAAAAAAAAAAGCTTTTCGACCCAACATAAGCGATAGTTTATATTAGCGCTGACTGAGAGTCGACTGTACCACTTGGAAAAGTCGCTTCCTGTTTTATAAACGGCGGGAAACTTAATTAAAGAAAAGCAAGGCGCATCTTTAAAATTCCTTGCCAAAAATGGCCACAACTTCCTAGAGGCCCTATGCTCTTACTAGAATTTACTATTATTTAAATAAACAAAATATGTCGATTCTTAGAGGAAAGTCCTCTATTATGAGATAGGCTCCTAATATGAGACACTGGGATTTCATCGTCCAATTTCACAAATCTTTTTTCGGTAACGATTACGCGCACGATCTAACAATGAATTTGCCACTAAACAGTTTTCACTCCAAGGGCAATACATTCATAGTGGAATCAACCCCGGTGATGCCTATTCAGCAGAAACTCCGTTAGCTCATATTAGGAGCCTACCTCATAATAGATTGTGATATATTTAGAGATAGACAATAGAGAGAAAAAAAAATTAAATGGTTGAATTTTTTTACGCATCTCTTGGACATTGTCATCGAATCGACGAGATTCCTATCTTGTTGCGTCTGGCGAGCTGGTTATTTCTACTCGCAATTAAACGCGGATTTACGTTCACTTGTCCCGCGTCGCACACGCCTTCTTGCACGCTGCTCATACACGGGGTTGAACATTTTACATGTACTTGCGACCGCGACAAATATTGAATCTTAAATACATGAGGTGAAATGCGCTTAAGGCGCGTCTTAGGTGCGAAGAGAGGAAGTAACGACATGGTCAACGCACACGTTAATTTACGACCGCGGACATTACTTCCTGGAAACTAGCGTGGACGCGTAAACGTGCCTCCCAAACCTTCCGTAATGGCTTGCGTGCTTGGCGGAAAATCATTTTTTTAAACGTTAAAATTAAGATTTAATTAAAACCCACGCGATTGCGCCCCCTGCAAGCTGGCACTTTATTCGAGATCACGATCTAATTAACGCGGACAGCTCCCGCCCGACACGCTCGATGCGTCAGCATACGCTCGGATAACGCACGATTATTTGCGATTTATTTGCCTTATGTGCCGTCCACGACGGCGTCCGACCGCAAATGTTTCGAATAAACGATCCATTTGCTCGCGGCGAAGTTTACTCTCACGTTTGATGCACGCTGCGCCACGTAATTGAAACGATCAATCAAACACCTGAGAAAAGGAGGGTGAGCTCACGCGTGCACAAACCGCACCGCGGGTCGCGTTCACGCAGAGGGAGAAGGTGCGAACACCTCGACTGCGAGCAATTAAGAAACCGTATCCTCCGTGTCCTCCCGAGTCGAAATTTTGGTACTGTTTTAACACTTTTAATGATAATTTACATCTACTTAGCTGATCTATATACCTGCATAGACCAGCAATAACCTACTTTGATGACATTATATTTTTTTACTCCCCCCTTGAATCTTTAATTCTAAAAATTTACTTCAGCTCCCACTTAAAAGGCCCTACTTTAATGCTAAATTGGCAAAAGTAGACATTTCCGACACTATCAGTTTTAAAGTAGGAGTAAATTTTGTACTTGCAGTTCGACCTCCTTCACTGTCTTAGGTCCTACTATATGTATACTAGAATTAAGGGTTCAACGTAGGACCAAAATTTCGACTCGGGCGGCGCTGAAAATATTTTGCGTAGCAAAATCGCATCGCGTAAATATATACTTTTTTAATATCCCAATCTACTGAACTCTACTTCCCTAACACACGGTCGATTATAATCGAGGAACGCGCCTACTATATTTTAGTAAACAATAAATAAGCGGGAGAGAGTTTAGTGATTTTTCGTTTATTTTTGCCTGATATACCGGCAGCTCCGCGACACCATTAATAATCGCGTGAGAAACGTTTATTTCAGTCGGCAGGAGGAGACGTGAGGATTCTTTCGAAACTGCGCGATTAATTTTCAGTAAGCTCGGCGTATAACTGGCCGCTTTTGGTGTGTGTACAGATATAGCCACTCTCGCGAGATATTAGACAGGTGAGCGCGTTCCCAGGGGAACAAAGGCCCCATTACCCTGTCTTACCACCTCGACCCGGGCGGACGTCCCGACAGACCCTCCGCTCTTGAAACATTCATAAGAGCGTTGTAAGTGGTTTTTAATAAACGTATTTAATCATGAGTGTCGGATTACGGATTAAATCGGTGGGCGCTGTCACCAATCGGGGGGATTAGTCATGAATCTAAACAGATGCAACCCGCCTTTCGCAGGTATGCGGGTGTCTTGTCATTTCCATTTGCATATATCGGCGGGTCATCACTTTATTTGACAGCTTCTCAGCTCTTCTAATGGCAATTCAAATTCGATAAAATTTTACTTGAATGATTTGGCTTTTCCGACTGCAAAATTTGGTAAATATTTTTTTCGCAAGTTGTATAATTTAAAGATAAAATGTTAATCTATTTATAACGTTATGTAGTGCATAACACTATGACAGATTTAAATGTATGCATTAGACCTTTTTCCGTTTATAATTTAGTTATTTATGTATAATTTGATTATATATTGTGTTATGTATATAATATACAGGGTGGGCCATTTTAATTTATACAGTCGATTTTTTAAAAAACTAAAAGAGATATGAAAAAATGTTTCAGACAAAAGTTGTATGGTTTCGAGGGGGACATAAGATGGTACCATAGGTTTGACCTTGAAGAGTAATTTGAAGGTCACATGAAGGTTACCTTCAATTTCTTAAATGGAACCTACTATTTCTCGTTACATATTCTTGTAGGTTATCTCGAGAGCTTTCCAAAACACTATAATAAAGTATTTTTTTGTTAAGAACTTTTTGAGTTATTAAGGTTTGAAAGTTTCAATATTTAGACGTAAATTACAAAATATTT